GAGGCAGCTCAATATTTAGTTTCCAGGAGGCCCCTCTTTGAAGAAATAAGCCACAACTCTGCTTCCTCAAGTGAACCATGTAAATGGCAATAAAACATGTTGTGTGTGGTCACAGCCAAGAAGTGGGAGACCTACCAAAGGAAACAATAGAATGAAATGGGTAATCGAAGGATGAATGGAGAAATAGCAAGAAGCCTGGAACTGGGAAGTCATATAAAAGGTAAAGGTACATGATGTTCCTATTGTCAATGCCAAAACTGGGAGTAAAGTGATAAGGAGTCAGAATGGAGAAGTAGAGAAACATGACACTGAAGCACAAGGCTGTGTGATTTAAATGGACTTGAGCCAAGTTGGACAATGGTGAACAGTTTTAGGATGGAGCTTTATGCTCTGTTAATTTCCAGTGAACATGTTCCACTCGGATGGAAAGGAAAAGGGTTGAAATAACACTGCTTGGTTCCTTGGGTGGGTGGAGGGTCATGATGTGAAGCTCTGCATCTTCTAATTGTGTTTCATTCATGGCATATTATAGTTATTGGTTATAGTGAGATAAGCACTAAAGCTGATTTTGTCTGGGCTGAAGCTCTGAAAAGGACTCATTTTTCTTTACATGACCAAAACCAGCCAACATTAGGTGTTCAGACCTTTTTGAAAAGAAAGAATTAGGGCCTGCTTCTCTTGTCAGCTACACTAGTGTAACTCCAAGTACTTCATTAGTGTTACTCGTGACTTTGAGGTAAATGAAAGGAAAATTAAGTCCAAAGTGCCTGTTTTTTTTCAGTATCTGACACCTCGTCAGTCACATCTGTGCACTGTGCTTGGATAATGCTACCACCTTGACTTGTCAATATTTTATACCCACTGTGTAAATGCTTACACAAAGGGCAAGGCAGAGCAGGGCTCAGGCCAAAAGTGAGAGCTTTAGGGTGAGATCTCTGAAGGTACTTAGATACCACTGCAATCCACAAAACTCCTACTTGGCTGCCACCTAACCCTGTGGGTGCCTAAACTCACTCAGTGCCTAAGCTTTTGCCTCGGTGCATGCCACGCACTGCCTCACTGTGGATTGTAGTGCTGTTCCTTTGATTGTCTAGGCACCTAAAAGTTAGGCACCTTGTGCTCAGTGTTTCAAGGTCCCTTTGTGCATCCCACCCTAGCTCATAGTTCCCTGAGTTGACTCCAACAGCAGAAATCTGGAGTGAATTTTAAAAACACCATACTTAAGACAACTTAAAGCAAGAGAAGAGAGTTTTAGCTGTGAATTCTGGGCAGCTGCAATGAGCTGGTTGCTACAGGATTTGCAAGAAATACTGTGTGTGGGGGTGGTGTCCAGTTACATATATAGTTTAACTGCTACTTGCTGGTGTGTTGTGGTACCTTCAATAGTACAAATAAAGATCATAAAGAGAACAGCCTAGCTAGGTGGCAAATGCCTCACTTGGATTTCATTTAGGCCGGCCCTCTGAAGATAGTAAGTGTGGCTAGAACAAAACCCAGGATGAGTCCTGAAATGGGTGTTAATATGCAGACAACCCCATTTCAACAGTATGCTGTAAAATATTTGAACTATGTATACGAGCCCTATTCAGTTCACTAAACACAGCTGAATGATACTAATTTTGTTTACACTGTTAAGGATAAATATAAAAACTTGTTTTTTTAGATTTAAGATCTGTGAAAGAAAGAGGAGGGCTGTGAAAGTGTAACCACAGTTTTACAAATAATTGCAGTGCTGCTGTGGGTGGCTCCTTGTCCAAACTTGTGCTAAATCTGTTCACGCATGGGTCATTCCATATTCTTCCAGATCATTCAGATGCCTGGTGGTGGTCTGTGTCAGGGGGATGCAGAAGAAAGCTGGGGTCAGTTGGTCAGGATTTGCAATGTCTGCTTCCCCCCACCTCCCTTGTGCCTGTTGAAAAGGTTTTACCATGCAATGAGTCAGTCGTGCTTGATATCCATGAGTGAATTTGCCTTCCAATGGTGGAGTTGGAGCAGCACAATACAAACCGGCATCTCCACAAGGTCTTGGCTCCTTGGGGGGATGGGTGCATAATTTCTTTTTTATTCCCCTCCCTCTTTTTGGCTGTTGCTCCTGTCGCAAGAGCCTGTCTCTTTCCTGCTTTTCTCTCCTCATCACTTGATAGTTAAGGGTTTGTTTGGTGAGGGTGTGAATGGGGGGCGGGAGGTGAGAATGGTTTTACCAAACTAGACAAACTGGTGACTTGATCACTGTCTATAAGTACTGTACCTACCTGGTGAACAGAAATCTGATAATAGAGGGCTTTCCCACTGGCTGGAAGTTGAAGCTAGACAAATTCAGACTAGAAATAAGTGCCCATTTTTAATAGTGAGAGTAATTGCTGTTGGAACAATTGACCAAGGATTGTGGGGGATTTTCCATCACTGGAAGTCTTTAAATTAAGATTCTATGGTTTTCTAAAAGACCGGCTGCTGTTCAGTCACAGCTATTGGACCAGAAGCGAGAATTAATTCAAGGAAGTTCTATGGTCTGCGTGGGAAACAGGAGGTCTGACTAGAGTCTCACAATTGCCCCTTCTTGCCTGACAATCTAGGACTATATAAGTCCACATGGCATGGGAAATGCAGTTTGGCTTTCTAGCAGCTCTGCAGCAGCAGCTCTTTGAGCTGGGTCCTGGGGCCAATATGTCTTTTGGCAGGAGAGTGATACATCCATTGGCCTACATCCAATTAGAATTGGAAAATGTATAAAGGAGAGGAACAACAATGATTGAGTATGGAGCAGCTTCCGTATGAGGAGAGAGATTAAAAAGACTGAGATTTTTCAGCTTGGAAAAGAGATGACTAAAGGGGGGAGGATATGATAGAGAGCTATACAATCATGAATGGTGTGGAGAAAGTGAATAAGGAAGTGTTAGTTACCCCTTCACATAACACAAGAACCAGAGGTCACCTAATGAAATGAATAGGCAGCAGGTTTAAAACAAACAAAAGGAAGTATCGGGGGTAGCCGGGTTAGTCTGTATCCACAGAAACAACAAGGAGTCCGGTGGCACCTTAAAGACTAACAGATTTATTTGGGCATAAGCTTTCATGGGTAAAAAAACCTCACTTCTTCAGATGCATGTGGTTTTTTACCCACGAAAGCTTATGCCCAAAAGGAAGTACTTCTTCACATGATGCACAATCAACTGGTGGAACTCATTGCCAGGGGATGTTGTGAAGGCCAAAACTATAATGGGTCTCAAAAAAATTAATAAGTTTAATGGAGGATAAGTCCATCAATGTTAGCCAAGATGACCTGGGATGCAACCCCATGCTCTGGGAGTCTCTAGCCTCTGACTGCCAGAAGCTGGGTGTGGATGAGAGGGGATGGATTGCTTGATTGCCTGTTCTGTTCATTCCCGCTGAAGCACCTGGGATTGGCCACTGTCAGAAGACAGGATACTGGGTTACATGGACAATTGATCTGACCCAGTCTGGCTGTTCTTATGGCTACAGTGCAGAACAAGGCAAAATTTGAGAACAATGTCAGGTTAGCAGGAAAGTGAAAAGCTATCATCAAGAAACCAACTAGTGTTCCCTGTTGGCCCATATTTGGGCTCTAGCTTTTGTATTTATCAGTAGATATGTGTGCCTCAGTCTTTGCATCGCTGTCAGCTAATGTGATGCAATGGAACTGTAATGCCGTTATATAAGTAGGCTTGGAAGGATTAGATTTTTGTTGGTAAATGTAGATTTCACCATACACATACAAACCACAGAAAAAATATTTCCATTGATAACTGAAATGTACAGATAGGCAAAGTAAGAAAAATGCTGCTTTTTAGAGTTGATGTAACAAGACTTACTTTGTATATTTTGACATGAGATGTTGACAATTTGTGTTTCAACAGTTTTATAAAGGTTTAACTTTTTGAATGCCAAAATCTGCTGTCATTAAATAATTTATTGTCTATCTCCCCATAATTTCCCTCAACTCTGAAAAATTTAAATAGGTAAAAAAGACTGAACCCCATAACTTTGCAACTGGGAAAATTTTATTTGATAAAAATCTAAAAAGATGCTTAAAATAAACATCAGTATTATCTGTTGAAATTATAACAAAATATAGAAATCTAATTCTGCCAAGCCTATATATAGGTAAGACGTCTATCTAGCACCTGGCTGGGTGGAGCCAAATAAAGTGGAATTTTCACAATCCTAGGATGTAGCTCTAGCAAAGTACAGCGGCAGTTTACTATTTTCAGTCCTCTGTAAACTTTTGGATAACAATAAACCAGTGTGCCACCTTGTTTGTTTCTACACAGATATGTGTACACATAGAGCTATTAAAATAATTATTTAACCATTCACTATAAATGTTCTCTCTTGTCCTGTGTTTTGTTTTGTGCATTTTACATCAGTTTGAGCCAAATACAGGTATCTTCTCTGTGTTTGTAAATTGCTGTGTACATTTGCTGCACTATATAAATATTTCATAATAACCATGTGAATCACTTTACACACATTTGTGGAATAAAATATCAGGCTGGTCAGTTTAAAGATAATTCAGTCTAGAAGGATATCTCATAGGACCCAAAAATAACTTTAAATAAATTATGTACAAGTTGAAGATACAATGTGACAGTCAACTATTAGAATATACTATATACATTACAAGATTTCAAACAGTTATAAAAACACAGTATATACACTTGTTACTATACTGGTTGTCTATAAACTGTTTGAATAATATACACATATATGTACAAATGGTGTTAACATTGCTTAAACCACTGTTTCTCCTTTGGAAGAAGATAAGTCAAAGTATAAAATCAGAAAAACTACATAATTTTAGCCTATATATAAATATATGTAGTGTATAACAAGCTTGTTCCAAAACTTGAAACATAATCACATGTAATAAAGTCCCTTATACAATGTATCAGCATATCTACAACTGTCTTCGTATGCTGTACATCTGCATTCATCTTCTGTAGCTGAAAATCTGGTTGTTGGATGATGTAATTTGGGAAGTATTAGAATTTTGTTTCTGTTGGCATCTGTGGAAAGAAACAAAGAAATAAATATTACTTCTGGATAAAGACGTTTTTATGTATCTATCTTTCACTAAGCTATACAGGAGGATTTTCCAATCTAAGAGCGCGCATGGGGAGATGGGGTTTAACATTTTCCAATCTCAATCATATTACCCTTAGTGGCAATTCTGCGGCCCACTATTTTGGGAATATTTCCCTCTCACGCCTTTACCGACTATTTTCCCTGATGCCATCCCTCCAACCACAATTACAGTCAGACCCCTGGCCGTCAAATCCAGCAGCTGTATCTGGCATTTGGGTAAGTGAGAATAATACTGTGCGGAAGAAGAGGCGCTCACTAAGCACAACTCCTGACATCCTTGTTTGGGGCTCAGTCACTGAAATTTTTTAAGGGCAGGTGCAACCTGAAATCACCTGTCCTTAGCTGAGCCTGAGTGTGGAGCTTTCAGCCAAGGTGGAGCAGCAGGTTTGAGCTCCATCCCCTTCCTATACAGGCTCCAAGAGTAGAATTGCTCCAGCCCCAAGTTGTAGGAATATTCAAGGGCTGTGAACGCTTGGGAGGAGTGTTGTGGTGAGGAGGGAGGGGGACGGATTCAGCATTGATAAGCAGTGCTTATCACATCAGCTGACCTCTCCCCATCTCCCAATGTGGAAGTGCGTCCGCCTGTTGCCAGCCCAGAAGGCCATGGATAACTTGTCCTGGCTGGGCCATAAACCTCCCACTATGGCTGTGGTTTGCCTTAAATAAAGTGCCAGCTACCAATCAGTGAAAAAGTTAAACAAACTGGATAGCTCATGGGGATGGAGCCTTTTACACCGAGGGGTCACTTTTTGAGTCTGACCCAGGTGGTCTGTGATTGGACATTATCGTCCTCCTGTTGGTGACTCGTGGGAAGCAAATTGATCATCTCAGTCCCTATGGCAGTGCTGAAACCATAGCACCATAACCAGAACTGGCACCTATGAGCTCAGTGAGTGGGCTTGGAGTCTGAGCCACACTCAGACCCTAGAGGTGGGTACAGGACACAATGCATAACACTGTGAGGCCAGTGCCTGTGCTTTCTCTTCTCTCTTTTGTGGCCCGGGAGCTGGTGAGGCAGCACCTTTCACAAGTGCTTGACTTCAGCCTAAATGTGTTTAGAAAGTGAAAGCGCTGTTGAACTTCTGTTGCTGCTGACATGCAGGGGGGAAGGGAGAGGGGCGGCCTTACCGTGTACGCCCGGTTGCGTAATTCGCCGTTTGTATTGATAATATAATGATCACTGCTTCCCATCTCCTGTAGTGAACAGAGGGACTCAGGGTTAGAAAATACCCTCTATTTCCCTCTCTTTTTAGCTAATTTCAAAGGTAATATTGCTCTAAAGACTCAGAAAATGTAACTCTTGAGAATCTTGGTCATAGTGTTCCCTCTGTCTGTGCCGCTGGAGGGGACAGAGTCCTAGTGGAGCAGGGGTTGGTGTGGTGGAAGTGCATTCTCTGCGACACTCTTCCTGCCCCTCCTTCCAGCCTACTCTGCTGGAGCTTGCTGTGCTCCACCGCCCTGTGGAAGCAGGATTGGGATGGGGGGTGGCGCTGCTCAGTCTATGGCCTCATCTCTTGCTTGCCCTGCAGCATCCCATGCAGAAATCTAAGTGGAAATGAGGTCTTGTCTACACACAAGTTGCACCAATTTAACTGACTCAGTTTAGAAGCTATTTAAATTGGTACCATTGGTGTGAACACCCTTCAGTTGGTTTAAGAGTGCCTCGTATGGATTTAATTTGAGCTGATTCCTTACTCAATGAAGCTAAATTTATATCAGCTACTTTTAAACTGATGTAAAAGAGGCCCCACATGGGGCTTGCACCAATTTAATTACATCAGTTTCTAAACCAATTTAATTAAATCAATGCGACTCTTGAGTGTAGACAAGGCCTGAGAATCCAACTCCAAGCATCATCTCCTCCCCTGAGTCCCTCCTGCAATTGCTGCTGTAGGGCAACCATGGAGTAGGGATCTCTGCAACCCTGGAGGAGCCAAGTTGCCAGCAGGGAGGGGAGATGGCAGAACACTGAAGATAGGCTGGTTCTCCAAGGACCTGGGAATTCCCTTTACTGTGGCTCCATCAGAGTGAAAGGCCACAACCCTGCCTTTATTACAGGCCTCAGAGTCCTGTCCCTTCAAGGTGACGGTTTCAGGGGAACTCCACTGCATGCAATTTCCTGGGCTTCCTGCATCCTCCGTTGGGTGTCCTGGTAGGAGGGGACGACCCAGCCCCTTGAGACTATGTAAACAACTGCACTGTGAGCAATTTAAGGTGTTACTCCAGAGAAGAATGAACACATAGTACAGTGGTTACCTTCATGGGTTTGAACTTTGGTGAGCAGGCTCCGTTCTTTTTTACCAAAATGTGTAAAACAGCATCGTGAATGCTGATGAAAAACATGGAGGGCTTAATCTCCTCATCAAAAAATGCACATCTTTCCAGCTTGTCCAGGAAGCCCTCTGCAGAGAAACAGAATCAAACCACAAACCAGTGACTGACAGGCCTGCAGTCGTTAAGACAAAAATGAATTCTCAGCATATCCTTTGAATGAGCGCACAGAATTTTCTAAGTGGGTTAGTTTGGCTGCCACAAGGCCTGATTCTCCACTGCCTTGCCCCTTTGGCATTCGCTGTGCTAAGTGGGCACCAAACAGTACATTCTCAGCTGGTAGCATTTCACATCCATCTTTTGTGCACTTTGCACAGAAGTGATGATACAAGGTGCACAGGAGAGGAGAACTGGCCCTTGTTGTTTTGTCTCCTCATTTAGGCCCCATCCTGTGGTGCCTTATGCTAACTTGTAAGGGCCAAAAAGTTTACAAGCAGTGCGTGGGGTTTGGGGGTTGGAGAAACCCTACCTATGGGCTCTATGTATCCTCTGCATCATGCATGAGACCTTCATGGCAGGCCTCCGCAGCACACTGCGGATGGGGCATGGGCAGTGTGTCCATGTACAGTCTGGCTCCATATGGCTGTAATTCTGCATAGCCAGTGTCCCCTATGGCCTGCAATATTGGGACATGGTTGGTCCGTGTGGGTTCCTGAGGCGTCACTCTTAGTTTGAGTTCCCCAGCTACCTGTACAGCACACGTTTATGCAGGCTCCCTTTGCTGTCCCAGGACTGGGCGGTCACTAGCTTTCAGGGGGGAAGGCAGAGAGCATAGACAGAGGTGATATTTTTTTTATCCTTCTAAGTCTGAATATTCACAAGTGGACTGAACCTCACTCTGGTGGGGTGAGGGAAATGGAAGGATGGGGAGATCTAAGATGGAGGAAACCATGAGGGTACAAAACCCTGAAAGGGGAAAAATGGACCCATGGGTATTTAGGGTGGGTGCAGCTATTTTTACACATCTGGGTCCCATTTCCTCTTATCCACCCTTGGTCACAGTTACATGAAAGGCTGACTTTAGCCAGTAAAAGCTTTATCTCATTTCAAGTCTGTTTAGTTTGGCTTGTTAGTTTTAATCAATTAAAGTCAGTACTGCTGATGCCTGCAAGACTCTTCTAATTTGAGTCTGACTAGATGCTTTTAAAGATTTTTAGTATAAAAATTTGGTTTGCCCCTTCTAATTGTGTGGGGAAAGCAGTGTGTTGATAGAAGAGGCATAACTGATGCACGTCAACGAGCAATTGGTTGCTTAAAACCAAGATTAACAGAAATGGAAGAACTTACCTTGTGCTCCCACAATATACACATCCACATCAACCCGGACGAAGTCTTTTAAAGTCTGTTAAACAGAAAGCAGGCATTCCTTAGAGACTAACTCTTTTGCCATGAACTCAACAGCAATGACAGTGATTGTCTACAGCAGGTATACGGTACAGTTGTAAGATAGCATTTGTATTTTGAGCACAAATAAATGGATTTAGGCTGCCATTGGAGTTAGTGACAAAATTTTCATTAACTTTAATGAGTGCAGAATAGGTTCTTTAGATTGATGCTGGACTTTGAAGCCAACCTTCTTTTTAAGATAAATTTAAAAAGTTTATAATAATATATTTTAAGAAAAGGATCAATATTAAATAATATTAAGAGCTGAAAATGAACATCTTTGATGGAAAGACAATGCCCCAGTGTGGTAAAGCATCATTGCTCCTATTTTATAGCTGAAGAAACTGAGATTTCAAGAGTTAAAGGACAGAATTTTCAAACATAAAGCTCAAACAGAACTGCAATTCCTACTAAAGTTAATGGAAGCTGTGGGTGCTCAGTTCATATGAAAATAAGGCTACTATATAGGTGCCAAAGTGACTTGTCCAAGGCGACTGTGGAAGTTGATGGCAGAAACAGGAACAGAACCAGGTGTTCTGATTCCCCGTCTTATGTTTAAAACCTGAGACCATGATTCATACCTTATTGCTGTAAAACTTCCAGAACTGTTATCTGTTCAAGAAAGGAGTGTATAGCTATTGATATAACTGATTGGAAAATTTAGATGAAAATGAAAAAAAAATAGTTTTTATCAAAGTTTTCTATGAAAAATTTAAACTTTTGTCAAAAAAATGAACACACAAGTTTTTGATGAAAACTCAACATTTTCCATGGAAACCAGACACTTTTTGTGAAAAATTTCAGATAGGTGCAAACCCAATTTTCTGTGGAAAAATGGTTTTGATGGAAAATTTTCAACTAGCTCCAACCATTGAGTCTTTATGCAATCTATTACTGATCTCCTATGCACATACAGGTGTACCTTTAAGAAACATAGTACATTTACATTTTTTCTACTTGTAAGCCCTGGCTAGTTGTTTCATGAAAGGTAATTTACCTCTTTGAGGACTCTCAAGGCAGAAACATCAAAAAATGATACTGCTGCGAAATCAAGAATGAGGCTGTGGACGTCAATTCTGGGCACGGTGATGTTGGGAGGAAGTTCTGCATTCCAGTCAATTTGAAATGGTAAGTCTGCCATGTTAGTGGGCTGATCCAGCTCCTCTATTTTATTGTTGTCCAATTCTTCATCAGAATCATTCAGACCATTAACAGTGCAAATAAAGGATTTCTGTATTAAAGAGAAGAAATGGCCACAGTAAACATTACAACCTCAGGTGTTGTCCAGCGATAAGAGTACACATTGATGTGTACACTTGAATAGTATACTGAGGCACTGGAGAGCTGAAGCTCTGATTGAATGCATCATCATTCACTACTTGTGCTTCACACTGGAAGGAATTCTACCTCCCTGTAGTTAGGAGCCATTTTGAAACTTCTGTTTTGTTCCAATTAATCAAGGATTTAGCATATGCGCCATAGCCCACTGAATGGTAAGACTCCTCTGACTTCAGTGGGCTTTGGGTCAGGCCCATAGAAAGTGTGAAGGATTTCTCCTCAGAGAAAACCAAGTACTAGTTGTGAGCAAACATTAACTATAGGTCAAAACTTTTTCTCCTTGGGATCTGGTTCTACAGTCTGAGGGCAAACAAAGATTGTTCTGAAGAGAAGAGAACTTTGCCTAACATTAAGGCTGCAGACCGGGGTCCAGGGTGTTTATATTAACAAGCTTATTTTTTAAACTTGTATTTAGTTTAACAAATGATAATATGTGGGAATACGTATCCAGTCTTACATTATATTGACATGGGGGAGGGTTTCAAAGGCACAATGGGCAGTTAGGTACCCAAGCCCAGACCCTCAAAGCTATTTAGGTGCCTAATTCCACCCTTTGAGGATTTGGGCCTCAGCTCCCACTGAAAGTCCATGAAAATGAGATGCCTAAGGCCTGGTCTACACCGGGGGGGGGGCGGGGGGGGGGGGATCGATCTAAGATACGCAACTTCAACTACGAGAATAGTGTAGCTGAAGTCGACATATCTTGGATCTAATTAAAATTACTTACTTTGCGGGATCGATGGCCACGGCTCCCCCATCGACTTTGCTTCCGCCTCTCGCCGAGCTGGAGTTCAGCAGTCGACGGGAGAGCGATCGGGGATCGATTTATCGTGTCTACACTACATGCGATAAATCGATCCCCGATAGATCGATCGCTACCCACCAATCCGGTGGTTAGTGTAGATGTACCCTTAGTCTCCCATGTGCCTTTGAAAATCTTTCCCCTAATTTATACCTCTCATCTCTGCTAGATAATAAGCTACATAATATAACACTTACAGGTGTCATTTGCAGCTCTCCTTTCTTCAGCATCTTTCTGATTTTCCTCAAAGCTTTATTGCGTTTGCGCAGCACCCGCAATGGATTAAAACCAACCTGCAAAATAACATCTTGATTAACATTTCAGATTTCTTTTTATACAAACAAAAAAAATCCCAGTATCCTTGGATCTGAGAGAGAACTTGATATTATTCTAAAAAGTGATTAGTGCTAGTAAATTCTTGGAGAGTGACCAAGTTAAAAAAAAAAAAAACTCCAAACAAACCTTAGATGAATTCACTATTGTGAATTAAAATCAAGTACAGAACTGTCTTGAGAAAGATAGTTTGTTGCGTTTAAGCAAATGATATGAATCTCCAAACCAGATTCTCATCTCACTTACACTGGGGTAAATCTGAAGTTATGCTTCTGGACATAGTGGTTCCATTGTTTAAAATGGATTAACATGGTGCAACTGAGATTAGTGTTGGGAATAGGCCACATCCCGCCTGATTGAATTGGCCTCGTAAGCACTAATCCCCCACTTGGTAAGCAACTCCATCTTTTCATGTGCTGTATATTTATACCTGCCTACTGTATTTTTCACTACATGCATCTAATGAAGTGGGTTCTAGCCGATGAAAGCTTATGCCCAAATAAATTTGTTAGTCTCTAAGGTGCCACAAGGACTCCTCCATTGTTTTTGTATTCATGGGTTTGCTGGTATGAATAAGGGGCCTGATGCAAAGCCCACTGAAACCAACGGCAAGGTTCAAAAGGGTTGGGCTTGTGTTTACTTGGTATTGCCTCAGCGCAGGTGGCTGGATGTGACCTCTCGAGGTCCCTGCCACCTCTACATTTCTATGATTCCATGTTCAGGGTGAGCAGGCCTTGGGCTTCGTATCTCCAGTATTCTCATAGGACTGGGATTATGTCATTGATAATGGCGTCACTGACCCTGAGGTTGTTCAAGGAATTATTCTCTCTGCAAGGCTAAATTGTCCACTCAGTTTGTCAATTATTTATTTTAGGACTGAACTACTCATTAATAATAATAAATAAATTACCCTGTCCTCATGTATTACTTCTATCAATGTAGAGGGAAGAGGCTGACTGTTGGGAGTGAGAGGTATAAGGAAACTGGGTTGCTGTGGAGGGCTAAACAGTAATGCTGATGATGAAAGGGGGATGTCTATTGTTTTTAAACAACACACCAGCCACCAACCATGTAATCAGTAAGATGTGGCTTATCCCTTACCACTTGGCTCGTGTGCTGTCACTTGCCCCCTTCTTCTGCCTGTCTTTTTAGACTGTAAGATCTTTGGGGAAAAAACTGTGTCTTACTCTATATCTGGGGAGCGCCTAGAATTTCTTGGTTTTACTGCAATTTAAATAGTAATAATAATAATATCCTCTTGTGTGTCCTGTGTGATTGTGGCCTTTTTTTTTCAGAGGGACTTTTAAGAAAATATATAATTACAGTAGAAGTTCAGCACAACTGTAAGATAGGCTGTCATTTTCTTTCTTACACACACACACACACACACACACACACACACACACACACAGTATTTGAAATGAACGCTGAAGACCAGGATGCCAACCAGAGTTTAGGATGGAAACTAGCCTAAACATTTTTGTCTATAGAGGTAATTAATGATAATAATGGTAATTGTAGTTGTGTGTTTCTACTCTTTTTGGGCTCAGTTCTAGGCTAATTAAATCATAAACATGCTGAACGTGCAAGTTAATTATTATTGTTAATTATTAAGTTTTATTTATCTTTAATTTATTATGTAATTCATTCATTTGAACTCAAAGTAATTCATTTAAAGTGATTGCCAAGAAAAAACTTACAGCGGTGATAAGTTTCTCCTGAAAGAAGTCAATATTAGCAAAGAATATCGGGGCCGGACAGCTGAAAATCTTCACTCCCTCTGGCTCATATATCTACACAACAAAGTAAGGGCGTTACTTACAAGTGTCTATTGCACAGAAATGCACGCAACAGGTGATGTAAATAATATACAGGCTCTTACATCTACATAATCCTTTCTGTTTTTGTAGATGTTGCTTCTTCCAACATTAGCCAAAAGAGTGCACTTTGGACTGCAAACAAATACAAATCAAGTTATTTATACACCATGCTGAAACATAATGGAATGAACAATTGCTGTTGTCTTAAAAGTCTTATCTTGCTGTTGGAAAGCTGTACTGCCTTAATGGCTGATAAAATAAAATGATCTCAGCATTATGATAATTGTACTGGTCATGTAATCAATCTAAGAGCCTTTCACTCTAAACTAAGAAAGAAAATTAACTATGAAAAGTAAATTCAAATGGGAGAAGAGTATCTATATTGACAGAGTGCTGTAGCTTATTATGGGCCAGACTGTGAACCCCGTACTCTTACTGGCAAGCGTTACGCACATGAGTAATAATTAGAATAATACTTAGCTATATAAGAGCTAGGTATAATTATTATTATCTAGATTATATAGTCCCATTGAAGTGTGATTCACATGCCTTTTCTCATTAACAGGGAGCAGAACACAACATTCCCCTTGACTTATAATATTTAGTATCCAGAATTATCCCCTAGAATTGATTTTGAGTGCAAAGTTGCAAGCCACATTGAGGCCTGGAAAATTTGGTCCTCTATGTTTAAATGAGTTTATTTTCAACATGCAGTCTTGATAGGGTTTACGTTATATTCAACATTTACTTACAACTGTGTGCGGAACACTATGGTCAGGAGTTCAAATCCTATTGAAACTCCTAGTCCAATAGCAAGCCCCAGTATTACAGTACATAGGAAAGTCACAATCCATATCATCTGTAAAAAAATATACACAATTTCAGATGTTAAATTACACTAGGAAGCAAGAGTATAAACCCAGATAGGGAACCAGAAACTCCGGGTCTTATCTCGACTGTGCCTATGCTCTTGGGTAAAAATCTTTCTTAGTTAACAGAACTGAGAGAGTGAGATTTACCAATCTCATGGGTGTACTGGAAGGATACTTAGTTAGTTAATGCTGGAAAGTCTTTTTGAAACTGAATGCTGTATAATATATGTGAAGTGCTGATATATTAAAAAAGCATGACTTTGTATACAAAACTAGTTGAATGCGCTTAAAAATATCTGGCAAAAGGACAAGGTAGAATGTAAATCATGATATCGGGAAAGGTAATATTTGTGAATATAATCTCGTGTCGAGAGAGGAAAGTTTAGCTACTGTGAATGTATTTAATTGAAAACTGGAAGTATTTAAATAATAATTATAACAACACTTGGAATTTTTTATCACAGGCCTCAAAGTGTTTCATCATGGGGGGTAAAGATCCACATCCTCATTTTCGAGCTGGAAAACACTGAGGCCCACAGTAGCTACGTAACACAAAAAGTGAGTGGCACTGTTCGGCACCGAACCCAGATCTTCTGATTCTTAGAGGTATGCCTTGTCTACTGGCAATGCTGCCTTTCAGTCATTTCTTTAGCTTTATCATTAGCAGTAATTGCCAAGCTACACTGTAAGTAATGATTCATTTACATAGCTCTCATTGGCAGTAATGGGAGCTACATACATGTATTGAAGTGAAAGTAGGTCCATAAATGTGTAGCCAACAGGCCAAATATTTACCAATTTTTCTGTTACTTCTTTATATAATTGATTTTGAATGGTGGGATTTTTTTAATGAAGAAGACTGATGAAATGGGTGAATGTGAAGATTAAAGAGAGAGAACTGAGCTAAAAGAGATGAGACTGAGTGAAAAAACATTTAAAAAAAATCTTGTATAAAAATAAAAATGAGGTCAGAGATATGTTCAATGCAGTAAAGCAAGGCAAGCTGTTAAAAATAAACTGAATCTTTAAGAGAATTTGCAAAATAAATGCCTGTGCAATTGGATTTTATTCTTAAGTGTAAATTGGCTGCTACTTACACAGTCATATTTGTCCTTTTTCCATAAAACACCTATTTCTTTGAACTGCATAAGCATCCCCTTTAAATTGCCGAGAGCCAAAGCTGCAAGGACTGACTGTTAAAAACACAAAAGAGAGCAAATGCCAAATGTTATAATTACAAGATTCTAGTAACAGACACAGAGCATGGGCCAGAGGACAATGGGTTCTTCCTGCTACATTGACGCTGTGGGCCAGGATGTGCCATTAAGCTACAGCACTGTATTAGATGCCTTCTGCACCTCCCCTTTAAGATAGTGGACCATGTGCTTCTATTTGTGGCTGGCCTGCTGCACTGGCCAGTGCAGAAGAGGGTGGGGCCACAGCAGTGGTGGTGCCAGTCTTTGTGAGCAGGGAATGGTGGGTTATTGGTGGCACTGACCACACACAGCAGCACTCTCCATTCCGGCCTGGTGCAGAGGGGAGGCCCTGGGGGTGGGCTGGAAGATGGAGAGTGAGCCCACCTTGCACTCACCCAGCAGTGGTGACTCCTGTCCCGCAGGACTGGACCTGGGACCCCACTGTGGGTATTGTGACCTGGCGCACAAGGTTACAGCGCCATTCAGGTTTGGCCCAGCCACTCCTCTGTCATGACGGAGAGCTGGTTGGGCCAAGTTGGACTGAATGGCGTTATGACATTGCACACAGGGTCACGGTTCCATGTTGACACATGTCACAACATATGGAACAGGGAGCCTGGCCCAGCCCTGTGGGACAGGAGCCACTACTGCCAGGGGAGTGTGGGGTAGCCCCGTGTGAAAATTTGTGTTGTAACCTTCTTTTGTCAGTTGCACAACATGCTTGAAAAGGTGCCACATATACATCTAAAGGCTGCCGGGAGGTGGCAGGGGGCTGTTGCCCTCCATTAGCTCTGCCACTAGGTTTTTCATTGCCTCCTCTTCCTCCTTCTCCCTCCCCTATTTTCTTTAGGGCCCTCGCAAGGAGCAGTCCCTGGGCTCAGGAAAGACCAGGGGCTGCATTTGAGCATGGCCCCTTAGCTGGAGAAGCAAGTGGCCTGGTTAATCAGAATCTGATCTTATCTATTTGGAAGTTTGTGTGTTCATTTCTGTGATGTTTGGGTGTCCATGCTGACATAGCATGTCAGTCTATACTAACTTCTCTGCAGGGGCTGGGGAGGAAGGAGAGGAAAGTTGCATGTCCCCATCAGTCCCATCCCTTATGAAAGACCTCCTATAGAATTTAACAGGCATAGGGTTATGTGGAAGCTTCATAGGCTTTTGCAAAATTACTCTAAAACTCTATAGTGTTGACTAGAGAATGAGATCCATGCTATGGATTTTTGACCTTACTATAAATTTCTATATCATGGACATAATTCCCTATGTAATTATCAGAGGGCTCAAAACACCTCTAGAAGTGTTACCATTTTCTATTAAACTCTATTGACTATAGATCACTTCCTCCCCATACACGTGAGGTTCAGGGAAGGACCAGCTGACCCTTCCCATCCATCCATGCAGGCAGGGACAAATTCACACTTGGAAAGTCCCCTCTGTGCATTGAGCTGTGGAAAACAATCAGGCACTGACATAATCCTGCCCTGCTCCTGAAGTCAATAGCAAAACTCCTATTGACTCTAGCTGGAGCAGCATCAGGTCCTTGATGAGCAGGAATAAATCCTATGCAAAAGTAGAGAATACCTTCTGTAATGGTTCCAGGAGAAATCCAATGGCCAGGATGACAATCAGGACAATGACAGCAGAGAGAAGACCAGCAACCTGTGGAAGAAAAGGATTTCACCATAAGTTTGTATCCTAGAGCACATTGTGCAGCCAGTGCCATGTGGCATTCAGCTCTGTCAACATCCTGTATTTGCAATACCTGTGTTTTGCCTCCTGTGCTTTCCTGCACACCTGATCTTGACAGCGATGTACTCGCAGCAAATCCGCTGAATGCGCCACAAAAGATGTTACTCAGGCCAAAGGCAATTAATTCCTAAAAGAATAATGAACATGAGGTTTTTTAAAGAAACAGTTCTGAAAAGATAGTTCATAAGCCGAAGCATTTTTAAAGCTATGTTCATTTGCAATGTACTATGGTCATATTGATTTAAATGTTGCTTGTTTACCTGGTTGCCATTTATGGGGTAATCATACTTGACAGAATATACTTTAGCGACCGAAAAGGCTACTGCAAATCCAACAATCGCTATGGAAAAAGCGTCACCCACACAACTTTGGAAAACCCTCATATCAAGTTGAACAGGAGGCTTAAATCTGTAAGAGAACCCAAAAGAGAGAACTCTGCCTTAACGGGGTGCTTAAGAAAACAGTATGGCAAGCAAAGCATTCAGTGAGCTCGGTGACAGTCCATCTCTTGTGCTATTTTAACTGTGCACTTTTCTGTAGAGGTGGGACCAAAACATAATCTTGGCTCTAAATGCCAATGAACTTCAGGGATGTTTGGATCAGGATTGGGACTTTTCAGATTGAGTCCATTGCCTACTAATCTGCAATCAGCTCAGTTTGCAATTCAATTACCAGGCTCTCTTTACTGGAAGTCAAATCCTAAGGTGTCAAGCACCTGTAATGAGCATTATTATTTGTAAGATACACACAAGGTCCTTCCTAAGTCAAGGGCTGAATTGTTGCTGAGGCCTTGCACAGGTCCTCTGCACTGGAGTGGATTTCGCTCTATAGGAAAAAACTGCTGTGATTTGTTCTGGTTCTTTAGATAGTTAAATAAATATTTGCTAAGGAAGGTCAGTCACTAAGTTTAGATCTTTTCCTTATTTCCTGCTCCCTGGCTTTTTGGACTGGAGCTTTTGTAGTCCAGGGGCAATAAAAAGACATTCTTCAATGAGCTGGTTTTTCAGTGCCCTTAAATTGATCAGTCTGAAATCTGAGGGTCGGAGCCTGTTGAGCAGAAGTAGCTGTTCCTCTGCTGACTTCATCCACTGAAGCACCAGTGACTGTGAGCACTGCCCTGTAGGGGCAGTCAGTAACATTTCTGTCATCAGCAAAGGTTGCAGCAGTGTATTGTCATGTTATGTTTCTTTCTCGTTAAACACTTCTGTGCTTATATTCTAAATGTAGGTATTTATGCCCTACTTGTCATGGGGGATTTAGAGATGTTATAGTAATCTAAGCAAACTGAGTCGTAATAATGTAATGAATGCTGTATGTGACCTGGTCAGTGGGGTGAAGTTATTATATATTGAGTTACAAGACTTTTTTACATGAATGTATTGTTCTAGTTTAATAAGGGGATGTGGGAAAAGCAAGCAGGAGAGCAACACAATAATTACAGATAGGCAACCTCTCAAGAAACACATTAGACAACTACAGGACAATGATCTACTTCTAGGCCGTTTTGCCAGCTGAAAACTAATAAATCAAAGGGTTATAAATAGGTAACAAACTTTCTTTGGAGAGCAAGAGGGAGCTCAATTGTCAGGAACTATTGAGGGGGACAGGCTTGCTTTAAGCAGACTATTTGGCTACTGGATACCACTGTTATTGCTGCTGGAAGGAACAGAACCACAGGCACTGAAGACAGGTCAGGCCCATTGAGATAATCATAGTTGATCACAGGGGACTGCAGCTCAAGGACTGATCTGAGTACGAGAATTGCACGATTCCACTCTGAGATAGCTGCCGGCCTGAGACCTGAGTCAGGGTGTGCTCAGAGACCAGGATGGGGCAGAAGAGCAATTAGTCCAGTAACTCTGACACCCCTTTTCCTAGTATTCAACTGGTCATTTCACACAACAAGGAATGAATTAATTAATTCTCAGTTTCTTGGAAGAAAAAATGCTTTTCATTACTGAATAGCTCTTATCTACAGAAAATTAGTCTGCTGAAAGCTGTGATATTGTTGAATCCAAAAAGTTTACTGAACTGCTCAGAAGAAGTAAGTTTTATTAATGCAGAGTATTTAATTAGAAGGCAGAGATGGGTGAATTCTGTGGCTAAGAACTTGTTTAGAAAGCATATTGTGCTCCACCGGAAAGTTTCAGAATTATACACTTACCCTTTTTCTAGTTGTCCAATGACATCAACTTGAAACCTCTCTTTGAAATTACAGGCATAGGATATACCTGTTGCTATGACTGTCTGTAAGGTAGCAAAATTATCTACATTAGGAATTTGCAAATTAGACCACAAAAAAGTCACTATTTCAAACCATCCTTTCGCTTCTTCCTAGCAAACATTGCCTCTTTGATGTGCTTTCTAATGTCCTTACTAGTGGTAGACATTTTCCTGCTATTCAGAGCCGAGGCATAGCCAGCATGGGACATTTGGGTGGGCCTCGACTTTGGGTGGGTGGGCAATGACAGGGGAAAGGGGTAGGCGGGATCAGGGAGGCAGGAGGGATTGGGGGGGCCCGCCTCCCCTCTATCTCTCCAGCCGGCCTTGGGGGCACGATAGACACTCTGGCCAGGGGTCCCCCTGCATGCACCAAACTCCGGGAGGAGACGCTGCTCTCCAGCGCACACGGCTTCCGGCACCCATCCCTGTCCCACCGCCCCACGCCGGGTCCAGCTCTCCAAGGCAGCAGGCCTGTCTTTTTTGAGGATCTCCTCTGCCACCGCCACCAGGTCACCCGCTCGCCCACCCTCCTCGTCTGGTGCTCCCTCCCCTTCCGGTTGGGCCGGGGGCACCCAGTGTGCAGCGTCCTCCAGGTCTGGGCAGGGCTAGTGCTGGGGCCGGACCAGAGCCGGAGTTGGGGGGGTGGGCCTGGATGCTAAGTGGGTAGGCCATGGCCCACCCAGGCCCACTCATGGCTACGCTCCTGATTCAGAGGTAAGTTTTAGGTGTTACAGGTGTGTCTGTGTTCGTAACCCACCCCGAGATTCCAGCAAACGTTCTCATTAGTGGTGGAATACATCCCTACAAAATGGACATTTTCTGCTCTCCTTGAGTAAAAAAAATACTACAATAGTCTATAGTACAACAGCAGTGTTTCTCAACCCTTTCCGGTTGGGGACCCCTTATTCAACGTTTTGTGACCCCATTACATTTACTATGAAAGCAAGAGTAAACACTGTAGCCATGATACAGGCTATATACTTTATTTGTATGTGTGTGTGTTTTAAGAAGCCGACGGAGAATAATGGACCTTGAAGAATATAGGAGAGGGGGAGTGAGACAGTGGGAGAGGGTCAACTGCATGTACATGAAAGGTGCAGAGCTACTGCACGTAATAGCTCAAAGGGTTATAAATAGTTTGATCTCAAAAACACTGAAAGTTTTGGCCACCCCAAAGTTATTCTGGAAATCTGATTTATTGATTGCTTTAGATTGTAATAACATTTTCAAGCCTCGTGACCCCCCTGCCAGTTGTGAACCACCAGTTGAGAAATACTGCTCTGCAGTTGTCATAACTATAAAGGGAAGGGTAACAGCCCTCCTGTGTACAATACTATAAAATCTCTCCTGGCCAGAGACACCAAAATCCTTTTACCTGTAAAGGGTTAAGAAGCTCAGGTAACCTGGCTGACACCTGACCCAAAGGACCAATAAGGGGACAAGATACTTTCAAATCTTGGTGGGGGGAAGGCTTTTGTTTGTGCTCTTTGTTTTGGGGGTTGTTTGCTCTTGGGACTAAGAGGGACCAGACATCAAGCCATGCTCTCCAAATCTTTCTGAACAAGTCTCTCATATTTCAAACTTGTAAGTAACAGCCAGGCAAGGTGTATTAGTTTTATCTTTGTTTTCTCAACTTGTAAATGTTCCTTTTGCTAGAGAGTTTACCTCTGTTTGCTGTAACTTTGAACCTAAGGCTAGAGGGGGTTCCTCTGGGCTCTTTGAATCTGATTACCCTGTAAAGTTATTTTCCATCCTGATTTTACAGAGATGATTTTTACCTTTCTTTCTTTAATTAAAAGCCTTCTTTTTAAGAACCTGATTGATTTTTCCTTGTTTTAAGATCCAAGGGTTTGGATCGGTGTTCACCAGGAAATTGGTGGAGAAGTCTCTCAAGGCTACCCAGGGAAGGGTTATAGTACTTGGGAGGGAGATATTCTCGGGGGGAGATTTCCCAAATAACTCATAAATAATTTGGGTGGTGGCAGCAAAACCAGATCTAAGCTGGTAGTTAAGCTTAGAGGTTCTCATGCAGGTCTCCACATCTGTACCCTAGAGTTCAGAGTGGGGAAGGAACCTTGACAGCCGTAGAGTTCCAGTAGAATGCTGTAGTGCTTGGTTTTAAGGGGAGTGTCTGATTTTACAGATAAATCAGACATAAAACATTTCATGAATAATACTTTTCTCTCTAAAGATATGTTAAATTATAAAACAGTGAAAGAAATGTAAAGCACATAATGATATCTCTGTCAGGATATATAAAACCCACAATGGTTTTTGTCAAAGACAGAAAGAAGACAGTAGTTGAGAAGAATACTATAGTACATAGAAACAGGTTTAAAACCCTGCTTTGGGTGGCACTATTGTCACTATACACTTGAAATAAGGAAGTGGAATAATCCTTACCACAAAGAGTTCAATTGGGATGGGCACTGGTAGTTTGGCTTTGTATCGCTCATTAATTTCTTTCACCACAAACACAATGACCAAGATAATGAGTGCTGTGACAAGATCTGCAATGTTTGTCTTCGTGATCTGCCCACCAATCTTTCCCAGAGTCTACAGAATTAAAAAGAGAGAGAGTGCTTTGAAATAGGCTGCCTTCGCTTGATGCAGTGGGCATCACCTTTTCAAAAAAAAATAAAAATATTTATTTTTCTTTAATTATTATTTTAGTCAGGATTTAGTTCTGGTGGAATGGTTTGGACTGAGACTCCTGGCGAGTAAAGAATGATATTTATCCACAGATAGACAACAGCAATGCTAACTTCTCCACAATGACCCTCAAACCTGACTTCCTGATCTCATCTCTAGGGGTGAGATGGTACATCTGTTTCCATGCTCTCCACTTAGCTTATCTGCTGAGACTGCTACCAGCAGGTGTGAGGAGTTGTGATACACATGCTTACCAGCCAGGAACTGGACTGAGAACAACAAACAGCTTATTACATTTAGGACACCAGACAGCCATCTGGTGATAATAACTGTTGGCCACCACAAACCTGAGCCAGAGTGATAATGATAACATACAGGTGAAGGGCTCTATGTCCCAGATCCCAGGAAGTCAGAAATTTTTGGGAAAAAATAACTGAACACATAAATAAATCTTCAGCAAGTCAGTTCTTTCTTTCTTTGTTTCTTTTGATTTTTAATCATGCAACCAGACCCCTGGGAGCTAAACCCAAATGAAAGACATCTACAATATTGTATTTATTTATATTCCAATAAGAATTGGTAGATATAAGAAAATGCCTGAGACAAAGCTGCATGGGCTCTGAAGGACATGCTAACATATTGTAGAAAAGGTCATATAATTAGCCTATTTGTGCACCCAACACAATATCTAAATATCATTATTTTGTGACAATAACACATCTTTTTGCAAATTGCTTCTTTTTTTTTTTTACTCTGAAGATTCGGTTGGTGTAACTACTTGGTGATATAGAGTCTGATGCACTCTACTTGTCTATGTAACCCACACACCTTCTGGGTGTGGGGCTCTGTTCCATCTAGTGGCATTGAGACCACTTAGAGAGAGAGAGAGATTAATGACATTGCTTTACAGCCCTAGCTAAAGACAAGTGGCTTTTAGCTCATGCAGTAGAGACTCATGCATTGAGGTCCCAGGTTCGATCCCGCCTGCTGACGACCGGGATCTGTCAGTGTTACATCATGTTGTTAGCAACTGAGGAATACTTACACAGAAAATTGAAAGTGGTTCCTTACATCCAGTAACCGGTAGCTGGAGTATGAATTTCAGCTGAGACACCACAACATGGATAGCTGCAGCAGTAGTGAAACCACTGATTAATGACTGAGATAGATAAATAATTACGAATCCAACCTGTAGTGCTCCCAAAAGCAACTGTAACACAAAACAACCAATCATTTGTTAGATGTAGTTAGAAGAGAAGCACAATATTGCTGACCCCAAACATTCAAAAATCATGATTGGGATTGGTTTATGAATTGTGAGATTTTTTTAAAATAATACATTTTTTTAAAAATTTTGCATTCTGGATTCTGAGCCTTTAGGGTTCCCTTGGTTCATGTTTCCAAGCTTTTCTCTGAAACCAAGAGGATTAGGAACTTACTTTTTAAAAAAATGAAAGCTGAGATTGTCACCTAATCTCATGACTCCAAGATCTGGGGCTTTAAGAAACACCCAAATATTGTGAGACTTGCATGACAGTGGGCAACACTGGAAGCATAAGTAACAGCAGTCATTGCTACAGAAATCCTAAACCTCTGAGTTATACTTTTGATCCAAAGTAAGGGTATAGGTACACAGCAAAGAAAAGCCTGTGGCTGGCCTGAGCCAGCTGATTCAGGCTTGCGGGGCTGTTTCATTGCTTTGTAGAATTCTGGGCTCAGACTGCAGCCCCAGCTCTGGGACCCTCCCACCTCACGCCAAGTCCGCGGGCATGGGCCAGCCGTGTGGGTTTTCTTTGTTCTGTAGACATATCCTAAATGTCCTTGCTGTTAAGATTTTCAGTGTATCCATATTTCTTACACATTATAAATCTTTCATGATGTGGAAACATATATATGCATTCACTACACAGGAATGTGTTCTACAGTATTATTTCCAGAACAAAATGGAACTAAATATATTTGTCTTCCTCTCTGACTTCATCCTTATATTGTATTACTGTTATATGGAACTTCCTTCAATATGACTGTTTACCTCACCAATATAATGGCTCCATTCTGTTCTCAGACCTATGGATATGTATCACTGCCTCTCTAGGAAAAATCTGGATAATGATTTTGCAATAAGTGGGGCATTCTGTGCTTGGATAGCCTGTGGGATCGGGCCCATGCACAATAATTGTTTTTAACAGAAATGTAGCAGCATATGAAAGGTAGGGCCATCCTTAATGCCCTTGTCAATAGCCTGCACGTCAATATCTGTAGAAGCTTCCAAATAGCTCACCCAGATGGCTCCTGGTCAATGGGACAGATTCACCCAGTTGGGAGGATGATGGTGGCGATGGTTTAATTTATAGTCCCTTGGGGCTGGCAGCACGGAGGAAGGATAGATAGATAGATATCATTATGAGGTACCAACCTGAAAAATTCCAGCAAGGAGTGATACAGTTGCTGCCACCTGTATCTTCTCGTCATCTAGTGCCGTAGAAGTCGTTAAAGTGCTGTTTCCAACACTCTCCTCATCGACTAACTTCATAACTACTTCTCCCACCATTATGCTCAGAACAGGGAACGGACCTAATTCACACAAAGTAATGCATTAAAGCTGGACGGGTAAAATATAAGTTTCCATCAACCACAATTTTATTTCATGTTTGAAAAAAGTTACAAAGCTTTCCCAAATGGAACGGTGTGTAATAAGTTACGTCTGGGGATTTTCATTTCTTTATTTTCCACATGAGTTACTAAAACGTAAGCTATGGAAGAGAGCAGAGTAAATACTGTGCAATATGACAACTTACCAACAGAGATATGTCTGGAAGTGCCAAAGAAAAAATAGCCTATGACTGGGAAAAAGGCTGCATAAAGTCCATACCCCGGGCGAACATACACTAGTAAAGCAAATGCTAGACCTGTAATAATAGAAAACACAGGGAAAGTTAAGCACATATTAGAGGTGGAAGTCTACAGGATCTCTCGACATGGACTTACATGGTATTTTGATCTTAGAAAGAACAAAATCAAAGCAAAAGCATTTCCCAAAGATTACCTTGCAGGACAGCCACCAGCCCTGTGCTCAGCCCAGAGACAAAGTCACTCAGGAGCCAATCCTTGACGCGATATGCCGGCAACCAGGAAGTTATAGGTAACAAACCAGTGGCAATATTCTTGGCCTTTTGTGGGGAACATCTGAAAATATGTGACAAACCACAGTTCAGTCAGCTAACATCTTTGAGTCAGTCAATAGTGAAACCTAATCTTGATATATGAAACTAAAGGATAAGAATTTAGATTTCAGCCTGTCAGAGGTATCCAGCATGGAACAACCTGCCTGGGCCATAGCCCCACTGTTTCAGGAATATTTTTAGGCAAAAGAGTGACACATTCCTCCATGGTGGGACTCCATTAACAAGAGTTACACTAGGGGTCATCTGAGTTGAATGGATGGAGTTACCTCAGTGATTAACTGAACTGAATGGAGTTAAGGGATGAATTTGTCCCTCAGTGTTGAGAGTTAATGTTTGTTTTCTTCAGAATGGGAGAGGTGGATGTTGAAGAAACCAACAGCAAAAGCTGGGTGAAAGTCTTTATGAGACTAGCTGGAAGGAAGATTGTAAGACTCATAGACTCATAGACTTTAAGGTCAGAAGGGACCATTATGATCTTCTAGTCTGACCTCCTGTACAACGCAGGCCACAGAATCTCACTCACCCACTCCTGTAACAAACCCCTGATCTATGTCTGAGCTATTGAAGTCCTCAACTTGTGGTTTAAAGACTTCAAGTGCAGAGAATCCTCCAGCAAGTAACCCGTGCCCCACGCTGCAGAGGAAGGCGAAAACCCCCCAGGGCCTCTGCCAATCTGCCCTGGAGGAAAATTCCTTCCCGACCCCAAATATGACGATGTAGTTCAGAATATTTGAGAGTTAGGAGGTAGCTCAGGGGATCTATTTCTAACATCAATATTTACAAAAAATGTTTCTTACCTAAAACATACCCTCAGATGATCCAAAAAGGTTTTATGGTATCTCTGCACTTTCGTATGTTCTTCACCAAATGAGTTCTCTGAGTATACCGGTCTGGCCACGACATACTGGTTGCCTACAGGTTCAACCATTTTTCCTGAAGTGCTGGGTTAGGATGGAAGATTCTTATGTATAGCTCTTCGACACTAGTCACTTAAAAACCTGAAAATAAATAACAGAACGTGCTTCTTAAACAACTCAGGAGGAGCATTATGAAGTGCACAGATGAGTGGATTCCAAACTGAGCATTACTACCTTTGAAGATCAAAAGAAACAGGATTAAGAAAAATAAATTTTCTTTTGTCAGAGTGACCTCCTTCCCTCCCCCTCACATTGCTAGGGAGCACTTCACTAGGGAAAAAAAGCTATTTTTCCAAAAGAGACAGTCAGAATGTTGAGATTGGGTCAGGGTTAGCTTATCTCCTAGTCAAGTGTTTACCAATAAAATCTACCTCAATCAAGGGAAACTGATTGTTTTTAATACAATTTCCTGTTGTGACACTGAGCATGAGGAACACTATGGGCTGCCAGGAAGTTTGGGAGCTCACTGAATCTGACCTAGCAACCTAAGGAGTAAAGATGTGTCCAAGCCCTTGGACTTTGTGAAAGCTTGGAACTGGAGTCAAACTTTTTGGCTTGGATCCATAGAGACTAATGAATGGCTGTATGCAATAATAAGGATAACTTCCTAGATTATTTACTTTTAAGTAGATGTTTCCTTTACAGCTTCTTGCATGCTTCTTCCCCATGCACCTGCACAAGTCTTCATCACAGTCATCCCCTCAGTGTTATTTTCTATCCTGTTCCTCATGCATACTAACATTTTATTTGTCTGCACTGAGCAGAAGTTTTTACTGAGCTGTCCACTATAATCCCTGGTCTTTCTCCTCAGTGGCTATAGGGAATTTAGAATGCAGCATTGTGAATGAGTAGATTATTATCATTCTTCCCAGTGGGCATTACCTCAATCTTTTCAACAATTAATTTAATCTGCCATTGGGCTGCCCATTCACCAAGCTTGGGTAGGCTCCTCTGAAATTCTTCAAAGTCTTCCTAGTTCTGATTAGCCTAAATAATTTTGTGTTGTCTGAAAAATGTTGCCACCTCACTGTTCATCCCCTGTTCCAATCATTAGTAAATCTATTAGACAGCATCAGTCCTAGAACAGAACCTTGGAGCCATCTTAAAAACAGACTGTTTATTCCTACAACTTTGTTTTCTGTCTCTGAGCACAGAAGTTTCCAAACTGTGTTGTGTGGATCATGGTGGTCAGAGGAGAGGTGGCTGGCCACTTAGTGCTAGTTCCCCCTTGTTTCCAACTACTGAACTGCATTACAATACATTAAATAAATATCTACTATTTTGCTACCATGTATGCAATTGTTGAAGTTGTCAGAGGTATGTTATATATTTGCAAATGGGAAGAAGTGGTCTGCATGATTGTGACTGCGAGGACAGGTGCTTAGTCATGAAACAATCTCTGCATCAAAATCTGGTTCCCACCATGAAAAAGTTTGAAAAGTTTGTTTAGCCCCTTTCTCATCCATGACAGAACTCTACATGTTACCCCGTGACTATTTAGTTTCTTAATAGCCTCTTGCGGGAGACTTTGTCAATGGCTATTTGAAAGTCCAAATAAATTATGTTAACTGGTTCTCCTAAAACCACTCTTTTGTTGATATGCTGTTTTTCGCCTTTGGCAATGGCTTGAGAAAATATTTTCATAGATGATATAACAACTTTTTACTACAAAAAAAATCAGACCTAAAAGGTTCTCCAAAATTTGAAACTAAGCCATTGCACACTCCACCAGACAAAAATAGTTAAAACCTAGGTCCAACCATAGCTGGTTTATTCTTCCAGATCCTGTCCCAAATTCCACTGAAGTCAACAGGAGTCTTTCCATTGACTTCAATGCCTATCTATTTTTAGTTTTATACTTCTGCCCATCACCGTAGTATCTGAGCAGTTGGATCAGAGCTCCAGACCTAAGGCTGATGGTGTTTAAATAGATGTGGTGTTTTATTTTATTCTTTCTTCATTGATCCTTAATCTGCATGTCCTAGACATGTTTCCAGATCAGAATTTCCCTCATCGGAGATTTTAGCGTTGTTACATTTCCTAATATATGAGAATCTGCATATGAACCTTTTAAGCTTCATGTTGCAAGGTCTAATGCTATTGGAATTCCTTCTTCAATAGTTCTGTGCTTTGTATGTCACACCTGATGCACTGTATTAATTCTTTGAAACACTCACAGAAAATAAATATTAAAACATTGGCTGTACTTATACATCTCTCAGACATTTTCCCCTGATGCTGCAGCATTTATGAATTCCTTAGTTAGCACTTTGGTTTTATTGCCCTTCTTTTATCTTCCAGAGTGCTAAATTAATTTACTGAGCTCAGAGTACATTGAGTATGTTTCTTCAGGACTCTGCTGTGCTCAGTTTCACTTCACTATTCCAGTTGACTCTTTACAATAGCACAGTTGTTTTCTTAAAGTTTGTCTTGTTCAAGATAAGAGGCTCTCCCTTATAGAAACCCAAATACGTTAAGCCTCATTTTTATTAGATTTTGAACAGTGTCCCTTAGGTTTTCAACTACAGTTCCGGTGCCTTAAAATTCTTCCATCTTGAAGGGGATTTCTTGCTCCTTAAGGTGCATGTCACTGAATAACACTGAGTTCTACATGACTACATCTGTGCTTCCTTCTCCTGTATGTTGTATCAGGAATCTATCCAGTACCCCACACAGTACTGTCCTTTTACTGCTTCCTCTGATTTTATCCCTGTGTATGTTCAAGAAGATAAAATCCCAGAACCACTTGTATTTTGCTTAGGAATTAATTATTTTAAGCTTCATTTTCCAACCCTCTTTATCATTAATTACTTTAAATATTTGAAAGAAAATGTAATGCTGGATAGTCCTGGAGACTGATGTCCTCTACATAGCCACAGAAAATATGCAGCACTAAGAAGTAGCCTAATGTCAGTTTCCTAAACTGCCTTGCCAAAGTGTTTCTGCCTTTTCATCTTCCCACTGAGACTGCCATCTAGTTCCAATTCTGTTAGTGGCTTTTGTAATGTGGAGGCCGGTCCACTGGGAACTAGACTGAGATTACACCAGTCACAGAACAGCCATCAAATGATAACAACTTTCACTCATTATTAGCCAAGGTTGGATTTGAACTGACAACCTAGAGATAATAGTCTATTCTACATAGGTTCTTGTATTGATCACATCACTCTGGTGTCTGAACACTTTCTAATAGTGCATTAAGCAATATGGCTAACATCTGTCACCTATACAAGACTCTATCCCACAACTAATCCCCTAAAATATCTAAGAAGTCTTTGATAAAGCACATCTTATTGTATGCATGCTGTTATTTGAAACTGTTAAATACATAGCTGTTTGAAGTTTCTGTAGGATTTTTCCCCTCACGATATTACAAATATAATACAAATGTATATAGTACAAAAACCACAAACAAATAAACAAATTCTGTAAAGAAGCCTTTTATCTTTCTCAAGAAATTATATAACGTAAAACATTTTGTTTATATGTCATGCTCTTAGAACTAATTTATGCATCATGCACACACATTGGTAGTTCTGAATCCTACCTGATGTGTTTTCTATGAAGCCCTTTGGAAGAAGGTATCCAAGAAATTCAAGGCAGAAAGTTTCTCTGAGTCAGTGCAAGCAGCTACTGCTGTTCTTCATTTCAAAATTTCCCTATATACTGGTGGAAGATGTAGTCATATGGGGAGCTTTAATAACTAACTTCCATTAACTTTTACAAGAATATGAAGATTTCACTGTAGCCTTGACCATTGAGCCTATACTCAATCAGGATGATAAGAGTGGTTTCCTTAAGTTCTCTGTGAGATTGCTTAATGCTGTTTGGGGAATTGTTTTTAGTGGTTTGCAGAGTTTAATATAGACACATGAATAAAAATCCAGAGAAATTGCTTGTTGCAATCTTGTGCTCTTGTCCTGCCATATCTCCTAAACAGAGACAAGCCGGGTCAGTACTTGGATGGGAGATTTCAAGGAAACTTCTGAGGCCTGGTCTACTGCTGAAACATATGTTTTAGGTTGCTCTGGGGTATGTGAAAAATTCACACACCCCTGAGAAACATAGTTAAGTTGACCTAAGTCCTGGTATAGACACTGCTAGGACAACAGAAGAATTCTTGTCACCCTAGCTCCCGCCTCTTGAGGGGGTGGATTAACTATAGTGATGGAAAAACCCCTGCCATTGCTGCAGCAAATGTCTACACAATGGTGCTACAGTGGCCCACCTGCAGTGCCGTAGCTCTGCTAGTGTAGCATGTGTAGTGTAGACAAGCCCTGAGTGTTGTAGGATGCAGTGGTGGTAATTCAGTAGGTGGTACTCTTCATTTCTGAAACAGCACGCCAGCAGGGTGACATTGGAAATGTCAGCTTTTGGGGTTTAGGTGCCTAACGATGCAGGTAGGCACCTAGTGGGAGTTTCAAATGTGCCAGGGTGCCTAACTCCCATTGACAGTATCCCAGAAGGGGAGGACTCTTGTGACTTGGCCGGACAGCTGTGTCACAAAGAGGAAAGTGCAGCTCATGGAGCAAGACCAAGAGAGCGAGACTACAGGCTGAGGAACTGCAAGACGAGGGCATCAGGCTGAAAGAGCTAATCCCCAGAGCAGCTAGGAAGAGGCACCACATGTGAGGAGTAGAGGTCTCAGTAACAGGCACTTGTGAAAACTTTACTCAAGATACATAACAGAGGTCACGACCATTTGTAGTTATTAAAGGCCCTGTGATCTGGAGTCACAAAGGGACAAAGCACGGCTCAGCATTGCAATGCTTAACTTTCAGGTGCTTAGAAAAGCACAGGAACAACACTGCGACCCACAAAGCCCGAATTAGGCACCTCGGCTCCCTATACAATGGATGGAGAGAGTTAGGGGCTTGTATGTCTACACTGCAATGTAAGCCCAGGGTTCAAACTCAGGCTCAAGCCTAACCCCACTTCCCTCTATGCACATATTACAGTAACCCAGGGCTTGGACCCAGGGTCCCAGGACCCTGCGGGGCTGTGCGGTCTGAGCTTGAGTCAAGCTTAACCCAGGGTTTGAGCCCTATTGCTTTACAGTGTAGACATAGCTCCCACATCTCAAGTCCTGGAAGTCCTCCAAAAAGTATCCCACAATTCCATGAGCCAACTTCCTTTGCCCTTGGTACCCCAAGATTCCTGAAACTACTGTGTAGAAAATGGAAGAAATCCCCCTTGGCGTACAGCCCAGCCCAGTGAGTCAGTGTTTAACCCTTCCATTGACTTTTGACCACCAAGCTGCAAACACATCATCAGAGAGCCCTCCATGTTTGCAATGGAGACTGAACAGAACAAACCTTTTGCACAGTGCGCTGCTTCATGGGAGCTCAGCCTGATTTTGGTAAATCTCTGGTGCGAGGCCAGCAAAACTGTGGACTTCAGTAATGACCACAAATTCCAGCAAATGGTGAAGAACCTGGCAGCTGTGCAAATTTATCAGCTTGGTGACCTGTGCAAGGAGTGGATTAAGTGGCTCAAGAGTGAGTACCGGAAAACCGGGAATCAGAACTGCACCTTGGGCAACTCACCGGCCCATTTTATGAGGAGTTTGACTGGGCACTTGGCACTGCACCCAGCACAGAGCCAACTGTGGTGCACGATGACCTGGTCAGGTGGGATGGTGCCTTGCTGGCCCCAACGTCCAGTATTGGAACTGATGGGAGCCAGCAGTCAGTAACAAGTGAGGACTATGAGGTCCCTGTGTTGCTGAAACTGGTCCCAGAGCAGGCTTTGGAACAGGATCAGCAGCAGCAGCAAATTCTGGGTCCATACTCAGAGGAGCTGTTTGATGCACCGCCTGAGGAACAGCCCCCTGCAGAACCTGTAGCAGACACAGAAGCTGCCCTCAGTTTCTGTCACCATAGTCATGTTTATTAATACAGTAATGAGAGGGATTTCTGTTCTATGAACCAATGTAAAAGTTATGAGAGGCCCCGGTTAGCAGCATGTATTTGCTAATTGCAGATTGTATGCCAGTGGCTTGGTGTTCCACCCTCCCTCTCCCTCCCACCACGTGGAGTTCAAAATGGTAGCTGGGAAAAGCAAATAGTAAACCTTTAAGGTAAGGTTTTAGTGGAAAGGCACAGATTTTTGCTAGGGCCATTCCTATTTCTTAAAAATAATAACCTTACATTGCCATGCCTGTAAGTACGTTGCTCTGTAACCATTCAATGGTCTATCAAGCCACCTGGAGACAGTGAACTGTGTAGGGGTGAGGGAGGTGGAAATATGTTCCATTTACAAATCTAGTCCATTTCAGTTCAAGGTAGTTCAGGCAGCCCATAGGTGACAAAATCATTTGTACCATATTCGACTGGAGTTTGAGATTTTGTCCAGAAATGTGCCGGTGGAGGGAGTAGGGAGGAGGAAGGCTGTGGAGTTCTGCGCGTTTGCATGCAGCTAATCATGGGTGCTGATAACTGCAAACTTTTCCAGAAGCCAGAATACCAGATAGGTAGTCACATCTCAGGGAAGGGCATATTTTCTAGGGCCACCTTGGAAGCTCACCAGCCCACTCCACTCAGAGATTTGCTGTTCAGTCACTGTATGTTTGAATACTTTGGTTGCATACACTACATGTTTCCCATCAGCAGCTTAGAATAACATCTCCCTTTGCCAATTGGGCACCACAAGAACTGTTATGTCCTCCAAAACGTGGAAGGCCTGAAATGATAGAAAAAGTTTTTGTAGCACAGCCACTGATGGCAGCCTGCCCTCCCGCACCCCTGCAACCCAAGTAGCTTTGCAATTTTCTAAAATCAAAAAAGCAGCTTTGCATTTGTACCTCAGCACTGTGCCTGCAATTCTTTCGCTACAATTTATCAGGCTGTGTCCAGGGAGCTTCTGTGGTCTGAAGCACCCCTCTCACTATATATTGAAGTTCAGCTTGTAAACGTAACATTTTATGTCCTTGAAATTGCACAAGGATTTCCTGCACTGAGCTATTGATACAGTAACCCTCTGTTTCTTGTCCTGTTCCGGGCCCCTCAACCTCGGCAGGCTGCTATACTTTCGCAGCCGGCCCACACTGCAGAAGAACCTGGGTCACTGCATCTTCACGGATCAGTCCAAGAGGAAGTGTTTCCCTGATGAACTTTTGGCTGAAGTTCTGAACAGGGCCAACAAGCAGGCCCAGTACTAAAGACAGAGCGACTTACAGCTAGAGGAAAGGCACGGCAAGAGGCAAGAGGAAAGGATCAGGCTGGCTGCACACAGCTTGAGGACAGGGTTTCAGCATGTGAGCAGGCATTGGCTTCGCAGTTCCTGCTGCATCACTCACACCAGGGCCTGAGTTCCCTGTGCGGTACCATGTGATATAGTCCAGAAACAGCTTGGAAAACTCCATGGCTGGGTGGCCCATGCAATCAGCCCCCCATGAGTGTCTGTACAGAGCAACCTTACCCCATGCAGCCCTCCATATTGACCCCTGCCCCCAGCGCCGAGTGCATGGCAAATGGGGACAGGAGAACAGGTGGCCAGGGGACATGCAATGGCAGGGGGGTTCTGTCTTCTATGTGATTTCACTGTTCGTACTTGTTAATGCACTTGTTAGGTTTTTTTTCCTGTAAGGGTCTGTTGTTACTGGTGTTTTGGAGTGGTAATGGCAGCTAGCCTGCCTGGTAATGGGTGGATGTTGTACTTCTCTAATACATGCGTGTGTGTTTGTGTGTGTGTGTATATATATATGTGTGTGTATATATATATATATATATATTGTGACAGACCCAGACCAGTGGGGTACAGGAGTCTGGTAGAGGGCAAATATACTGGTCACTGGATGAGTAGTTTTCTGTTCCCTGAGTGACCAGAGCAGGGGCTGCACTAGCGTAATCAGGAACCTGCTAAAACCAGTTAAGGCAGGCAGGCTAATTAGGACACCTGGAGCCAATTAAGAAGAAGCTGCTAGAATCAATTAAGGCAGGCTAATCAGGGCACCTGGGTTTTAAAAGGAGCTCACTTCAGTTTGTGGTGGGAGTGTGAGGAGCTGGGAGCAAGAGGCGCAAGGAGTTGAGAGTGAGAGGGTGTGCTGCTGGAGGACTGAGGAGCACAAGCGTTATCAGACACCAGGAGGAAGGTCCTGTGGTGAGAATAAGGAAGGTGTTTGGAGGAGGCCATGAGGAAGTAGCCCAGGGAGTTGTAGCTGTCATGCAGCTGTTACAGGAGGCACTATAGACAGCTGCAGTCCACAGGGCCCTGGGCTGGAACCTGGAGTAGAGGGCAGGCCCGGGTTCCCCCCAAACCTCCCAATTGACCTGCACTGTAGGTTCTTCCAGAGGGGAAGGTCTCTGGGCTGTTCCCCAACACACATGGTGAATCTCTGAGGCAAGAAAATCCGCCAATAAGCGCAGGACCCACCAAGATAGAGGAGGAACTTTGTCACAATATATAAAGTTTTTTATTTAATCAAGAAAGTTTATTTCTATCACTGCTTCACATCATACAATGTGCATTCAAAATAATAATGGTAAACACATGATCAAGGGCAATTAGGAATTAATAGGCAAAGACTATCCCTCAATACATTTATCTATAGCAATTCATACTTCAATCACTTCCTTACATCAATCCATACTGTGAATTATCCACCTCCTACCATTTCATAAGTGGTCATGTCATTCATAAGTACATTGCATGACACTAAAATTCCACACCCCTCCCCAAGCACCCCATCCTTCCTCACAATCAATGAGCCCCAATACCACCCCCCACAACAAGCACATTCATAAAGGTACTAGTCCCCCTCTTCCATTGGGCCATTCAAGTCCATAATGTGGGAGCACAAAGCATCTCTGACTTCTGTTGCCTGGGTGCATCCAGCTCCAGTTCTGGTAGGTGCTCTTTCTGGCTGAGTGTACTGATTCAGCGGCCCTTGGCTGTCCATTCAGGAGGAAATGGCTCACCTCTGGCTTCTCAACGATTGTGAAGAGCACAGCAAGCCACAGTAATGCAGCCAATGTTGGTGACACTGGACTCCAGATGGGTCTGCAGACATCTCCAAGGGGATTTCAATCTGCCAAAAGCACATTCAACAACCATTCTGCACCTGCTCAAAGTGTAATTAAACCATATTTTGCCAGACCCTCTGAAATCAGAGTACGGTTTCATAAGCAAAAGCAAAACTGGGCATGCGGGGTCCCCCAGAATAACAGTGGGGACAGTAACTCCATTGATAATGTAATTTGGTGGGAGTAGTGTCCCAGCCTGCCCAGGAATGTAGACTCCTGATTGGTAAAAAAAAAAACCCTGGCATCATAAATTTTCCCGGTGCAACCCATGTTGACATTCATAAATCTCCCTCTGTTGTTCCACGCGGGCCTGTGGTTTATGTACTCATGTGCTCTTTGAGGAGGGCGAACTATGGGCACACAAGTCCCATCAATGGTCCCGGCACAGTTTGGAGACCCCATTCTCTCAAAGCCAGCAATTACTTCAGGAACGTCTTTGATGCCCGCCACTTTGGGGTAAACCACACACCTAATTGCCTCAGAACCCTGCTCCTGCCTCCCTGGGCTGGCCCCAGATCCCCTCCCCCAGGGGGCTGGGGTCCTGCTGCGGCTTGGGCCCCTCTGCCTCCTCCGCGGGACAGGCAGCCCCAGGGGGTTGAGGCCGTGCCACCCCTTCCCCAGCTTCCCCCCTCCAGCAGCCCCCTGCTGGGCCTGTTCAGCCCTCAGCCCCACTGGGTCCTGCCCTGCCTCATGCAACCCGCCCCTACTGTGCGGCGGCCCGGCCCAGGGGGACTGGGGGAGCCGCAGCAAAGCCTCGCCCGGAGCTGGTGCAGGAGACCCAGGCTCCGGCATCAGCCTGCAGCCGGGAGTGAAGAACCCCCTGCCGGCTCGGCTCAGCCCAGCCCCGCTCTTAAAGGGACAGGGACCCCACCGCGGCTTGGCCTGGCTTGGGGCATGTGGGGGTGTCACCGCACCCCCCGCCTGGGGGGCCCGGCGAGCGGGGTGCTCGACACCATAGCAGTGCAGAGGGGAGGCCAGCGATGCACCTTACTCTCTCCTGCACTGCCAGCCACGGTCTTGCCTTTTTCCCCAGCTCTGTGAGGCACTGTACACCTCAGAGCAGCAAATGGTAGCAGATTCTGCTGTCTCCAAGCAGAGTCTAGCCCTGAGTGTTTATTTCCGCAGCAGTGAGTTTTCGGTTTGGTGCATTCACTCCTGATCTCCCTGGTAAAGTGTAACAAAAGCCCTTGGCATTCATTTTCTCAGTGTTTCTGGGAATACCCTTTTCAGTTTCATAGATTGATCTGGGATCTTTCTTTTGCTGTTTCCGGAGAGAACTGTTGACAGCAGGGAGATACGTCCCTGACTAGAGGGCAGGAAGCAAATTTGACTAGATCAGTTGTGACTTCCTTTTTATTTGTTACTATAAAATGTATTACACACAAATAGATTGCTAATGAACTTCCACCTTTGGGTTTCTGGAAAACAACTCACTCTAATACTTGGAAGATGCAGGGACCTTTGGTCTTAAAAAATGAAAGATCAGACTCATTAATTTGGGGGAAGTGCAGTGGTCCATTTATGAATTTTCTTAAAAACATGATTCAAAAAATCCTTCTGAGACTGTATTTTAATGCTGAGATCCCCATAGCCTTACTATAGAAATAGAAAGTAAAACAAAGACATTCTTGATTCAGGTCAATTAGAGCAGTGGTTGTCAATGTTTCCAGACTACTGTACCTCCTTCAGGAGGCTGATTTGTCTTGAGTACCCCTCACTTAAAAACTACTTGCTTACAAAATCAGACATAAAAATACAAGTATCACAGCACAGTATTACTGAAAAATTGCTTATTTTCTCATTTTTACCATATAAATT